GTGTTGACCTATAAACTTAGACTTTGCACATTGAGCTTTAGAGTTTAGTCATATTTCTACTATTAGGTAAGCTAAGCTAACCCACTCCTGGCTGTAGTTTTAGACTGAACACACCCCTTGTGCTGATCTTCTTTCAGTAAGACAACAAGGAGGCAAAATTAAAATGAAGTAAATTAGTGGTTTTTAGACACCAAAATGAGTCCAACCCTTAAAACAACAGGTCAGCAAAAAAGCATCAGCAGAATCTTGTTTTGTAGTTTTTTTCCCCTCCGTGTATATATGATTTTTTACACAATAATTTATTCTGGTTGATTTGCTGTCCCCTAGAGCAGCTATCCATCTTCTCCAGGAAGACCTCAGTGCTGATAACACAGGAGTATAATCCTTTATCATTACTGTTACACACATTAACAGTAGTCATAGTTCAAATTGTGACAGATTGTGTATTTGATTTGTACAACATGACCTCAGCCATTATATAATACTGCACAGGAAAGCACCAATTGTGAAATTTTGGGTTGAAATCAATACGGATGTGTAAAAATAGCAATTTGGACAGTGGCTGAAGAAATACTAATTTTGTTCATCTTAAAGATAATAAAGGACGAGACAAGTCTTTTGGGTCCTTATGTGATTTACTTTGGACAATTAATCAGCACATCCTACTTGCAATAAGCTGATTATTGGTTACTGGCAATAGTTTAATAAGCAAGATAACCTCCATCCAATCTTAGGATCCAGGACAGCCAGGCATTCTCTTAGCGAGATAGAATTTAGACCACTGAGTTGTTTTGTACAGAATGGAGGGAACTCTTTAGAAATTGCATGGTAGTGGTGAAATTTCTACACATACACAGAGTCGTAAAAAGCAAAAAATGCACACTAACTATGTTTAATAATAGAAAGCGAGCTATAAAGTGTCACAGGGAAGATATATGTATAAAGCTGTAGACAGAGGCATAACTAAATGTTTGCAGTCTGCACTGGCTTCCCTTACAAAGACATTCTGAGAAATCCAAACAGGAAAACTTGACCTTTCTTTGCAAGGAACAGAAAATGCAATCCAGACCATGTTGTCATGGGGAAAACACAACACGTTCGTCTTCATGCGACCAAACTGTAGACATCATAATTCTCTGGATGATAAAAATCTGAAAATCATGGCAAAGATACTAACAATAGTTAAATGTTCACTCGTGTGAATTCATGCCACCTGAGCTTCTTTTTTAATGGCTCTGTTTATTTAAAGACTAATAATCCACGTGGAGCTAATGAATCTTTCACTAATATTAAAATCAAATTAACAGCAATGTTAGTAGTGGTGTCTGTGTTCAGATATTTTTTATTCAAGTCAAAAACGTGAAGCAAACTTAGGTATAAAAGCAATATTCATATAAGGTGTACGACTGATGGAGCGTGTGTTGGCAGGCATCGCCGCAAGTATGAATAAGGACATCTGGGAAGAATTATCCTCATTATAACAAAAAGCTATCAGTGATTTATAGGAGGTTGTATTCTGTTGTTCCACTATCTCATAACGATAAGAATTTTATCATGGCGAAACGCGCATTATCTCTGTCACTCCCTTTCCCTTTCCTCTTTTCTCTCTAAGGAGTTAAACAGGATGACTAATTAACAACTTTACTCTTCGCAATTCTCAGGAAAACCATGATATCCAACATCCGATAGTGGAATCAATCTCACGTGTGGGGCAGCGACATCTTGCATGCCTCAGAAAACAAAACATCTAAAACAAAACATCTCTTTTTAATTAAACGATAGTGCGCTGTCAAGACCTACCATCTCATTGACCACGAACAAAACCACCTCGCCCATCACATTTTTCTTCTTCTTTTTCCTCTCACAAATGTGAACAAACCCGACATGCTCAAACATCCTCTTGCCTGAGGCAAAGAGGTTTTTACCATTTATTTGTGAAGTGGTGCAGCTGCCAAGAAACCTCATTTGTCAGGAACATGAATCACAACAAATGTCATATTTAAGGCCAATAACGCCATGAATATTCATTTATATTGTCTTAGGTTTGCTTTACACATCTGGCCCAAAAACAGTGATTTGATTTAATGGCTTTACTACCACGAATCTTGATATTTCTCACTGTGGGGGAAGAATAATTTCTCGTTATATAATCCTGCAATAAGTAAGAAGTCAGATATGGATTTCAGGTCAAGTCTGACAGCCACATCCATCCTAATGACTCCAGTACACATTTGGAGGGCCTTACATAGGATCCCCACATCAGGTTAACTGTTGTGACTTGGCCTACATGTATTTCATTCAAACTGCACAGTGCTTTGGACCTAAAGCACCTCTGCATATTTTTCATCCCTGTCATTCAGTTCAAAAAACACAACTCATATAACAGAGGATTTAAAGTTTCTATCCATCCTCTTAGTCGCACTACTGGGCACATTTATTCCAATGCAAATGAGGATGTGTGTGCATCCTAAAATGTACAGATGGTTGATATAAGACAGCAACATTACCTGAAAGAAAAAAAGTCTGACAAGACTTTGGAACTACACAGTTAAAAATAACTTTTCCACTGCTTTAAATTTGGCCTTTCTTAGTTGTGCATTTCTCAATAACTCTTAAGTTCACTTTAAAAAGAAATAAAAGGAATGGAGAAGATGGAGAAAAGACAACAGTCTTACCTTTGACTGTTTAAGCTGGATGCCATAGATGAGAATATTTCTGTGCTTGGCTGTTGAGGCCAACTCCATGATTGCCGTGGGTGCTCTCTCGCTGACAGGGAGCTCATCAGTCCCGCTGAAATGCACCTATCAAAACAAAGACCACCGCACCCAATCAGAAAACAATAAAGAATAGCAATTACAGGACATTGTTCAAGCAGTAGTTTAAACATGTTGCAGCACAATAGGCTTATTTATTTGGGGCTATGTTTGGGGAAGTTTAGGGAAGCATGAGCGTCTGCTTAGAGTAAACAGAGGTCGGTTGATACACAATCCTGTCTGAGGATATAATGACTCTAATTGAGTTGTAAATCTTATGGACCTCTGGGGTTTATTTTCCTCAATTAGGGTAGCATAATCCAGATACAATGGTTCAGGTTACTGTGTCATCTCTATGAGCAGCTAAACTTTAGTCGATTTTCATAACCATACTGCTGACAGCAACTTAAATGGAGATTTATTCCTTTCAATTATTCTGTCACATATCGTAAAAAACTGCGGCAGTGAGATGCAATAGTCAGGAGAATAGTTTCAAAAATGTCAAGACATCTGCTTTAAACGTACAATTATTGCACTTTCCTTGAATATCAATCAAATGTTGGTTGTCATCAGCTGAAGTTCCAACTTGAAAACTGATTATTCAGCACATTCGCAGGGGTAGGACACCAAATTGTCTTATTCGGGCCAAGAATCCTCAACGGCGAGCTAGCTCATGAAGAATGAGAGTACAGAAGTATTTGTCCTTATTAGACTGGATTTTACCGGAAATTAAAAAAACTTGAACATAGACACTATTGTTATTGGGCACCTTCCATAATGACTTAGAGGGGATGCTAAGCTGATGTAAAATATACTTGAAGAGCCCTCAACAACCTGACAATCAATCAAGTACAAGCTGCTTGAGTGATAATTATACAATAATAATATTATTGATAATAATGGTAATAAACTCTAGACACATGTTTATCATAGATTGGTGATTTCTTATAGCGTGAACTCAAGAGCAGCATTTTTTTTCTTTGAAATGTCTTGCTCAAGGCCATAACATCTTAGACTAAGTAAAACAAAGTGACCTCCATTATCCAGTCTCCTTTTCTCCCCTTGAGGCTACCACCAACACTTGAAACTCTGATCCCTCAGTGATCACTACCATGTGATCAAGCCCGGGATAAATAACGGGGTGCATATGCAATCTAATAATAGCCCTAGGCAAACCCCCCCCCCCCAAAAAAACAAAAAAAACAGACACTCTGGTGCAGGACCAAATCACTTAGGAGGACTGCCTCATGTTTTGTCGTATTTTCAACTTTCCAGGATGAGTTTATGCACATTTGAATGTTGACGAAATTAGGTTAGACATAGATGGGGGGAAAAAATGACAGATGTGATTTACTTTAATAGAATTCAAAGGATCTTGCAAAGAAAAGCGTCTGGACTTCTTTAAGTTACTTGAAGACGTTTCACCTCTCATCCGAGAAGCTTCTTCAGTTCTAAGGTCAAATGGAGGATAGTTCCAGATATAAGCCTAGTGGGAGTATCCCCCCACAGAGGGACAAAAGGACCCCCTGATGATCCTCTAATCGCCTGAGTCAAGGTGTGAAACTGGGTGTGGGTCCCAATAAGCCAGAGTTTCGGGTGAGTTCATTGTGGAACCTGGCCCCACCTTATCATGCGAATTCCTGAGGTCAGAGGACTCAATTTTGCCATTTCTCCACAACAGTTGCCCATAGTGGACCTCATCACAGCCACAGAATCTGCCATACGGATTAATAAATTATCACAGACAGAAGCAGAGCAAATCAGGATGAAAGTCTCAGCCACCCTCTCCAGTGCCAAAGTCCCTCCGTCCAACCTCACAATGCAGGAAAAGAAGGCCATCGCCAATCTTGTAAATGGTACATTTGCATAATGACTAAAACCAGCACCACTGCAGGAACAAAGGACTGGGAGGTCAGTTCCTTCATCATAATTATGCGAATTCTCATGACCATTGATCAACAACCACTGATCAATGGCCATGAGAACCATTCACAGAGATTTGGGCAATGGCTGCAATCACATCATTGTACGATGGCGAAAGATGTACCCTTAGGCCCCCTCCTCAATTCAAAGATGGTCTTTCCCTTTTCACGTAAATGGCCTCCTTGACTCCATGCTCAAACCAGCGTTCCTCCCTGTTTATAAGATTGGGGAAACTTGCAGTCCGCTGGGACTGAAGAAGTCACTTGGATGAGTAGTTAAATGTTTCTCCCACTAAAAACGCTACGTCCAGATGAACAAAATCAACTTTTGGAGATTTACTTACCTGGATGAATGAGCATGCATCAAGACCTATCCATAGAGTCTTTTTTTTGGCTCCAGAATATAAAAATAGGGCAGCATGGTGGTTAGCACTATTGCCTCACAGCAAGAAGGTCCTGAGTTCAATTCCACCTGAGTTCAAACCTGCCTTTCTGTGTTCATGTGGGTTCTCTCCGAGTACTTCAGCTTTCTCCCACAGTCCAAGGACATGCAGTTAGTGGGGGTAGGTTAATTGGAAGCTCTAAATTGCCCATAGGTGTGAATGCAGGTGTGAATATGAGTGCGAATGGTTGTCTGTGTCTATGTGTTGGCCCTGAGACAGACTGGCGACCTGTCCAGGCTGTACCCTGCCTCTCACCCCAAGACAGCTGGGATAGGTTCCAGCCCCCCCTGATAAGTGGCAGAAATGGATGCCTCTAAAAATGTTTTAATTGCTTTCAAGTTTGGCATTTAAACACTGCAGTCTACAAGCACTGAACCTCTTTATGAGATAGCCTCAAGTGGCCTCCCAAGGAACTACAGTTAATTAATTGGCTTAATTTTTCATCCCTGGAGGTTGCAATTTGGTGTGCAAAAATCTTTATGTGGGTGGTATACGTCAAATAACATCCACATAAATCTCAGGACCCAGCAGAACATTGCATTGTAACAAGATGATCTATGTTATTCACTTCACCTGTCAGCGGTTTCATTGTTGTGGCTGATCGGAATAAATGTTAGAACAGAATAAGATTAGGATGAACTAGCAACATTTACCAGTGGGAGTTTTGTGGGAACCAGGTTTGTTCTGATGTGGAAGGGAGTCAATCCCATTAAACCCCCAGCTTCAAACTGAGTGTTTACACATCTGAATCTATGTGCTTCAATCTTTATTGAAAACTAACACAAGTAAGACCAGGGGCTTTAGCGGAGCAATTCTGCATGACATCTGGCTTGTTTTGTCACAGAAATCAGCCTCTGTGGGTTTATGTTGTTCTCATTACCCGGCATTGTTTTTGATGCTGGCTCTTTGTTTTAGATGAAGAGTTACATTTTCCAAATTAAAAAAAGTAAACAAGCCTTTCACAAACATTTAAATGTTTCCCAGAGCAGATTAAAGCAGTTTGTTCTTTTTTTCCCCTCAGTGAGCTCTCAGGTTAGTGTAGCTCTGGTGGGATCAGCCACAGTTTGAAGGAAAGCGAGCCGTAAGCGAGGTCGTGCAGAGGTGCTTTCAAGGGAGGTGTAGAGTTTCCAAATAGCTACAGAGCTCCAGAAGGGACGTGAGGTGGACCACAGGTTAGATTTTTACAAGCAGAAAAAAAAAGGAAAAGGTTTTCAATGCTATGCAGTACATGTACCTCAATGAAACTTAATCTGTGCTGCACCAGGTGTGTGGGGAAATGACACTGAGACATACAGTAGTTTATATACTGTATGACTTTAAGGACATGTTATAGATTTATGAGCTTTTATTTATATATTAAAGAGACAAACTTGTAACCCTTTAGGTGGCTTCCCTAACAAACACACAACTGCAAATAACACACATTTAGTCCTCAAATGGTATTAATAGCTCGTTTAAGGGGGGAAAAAAAGAGTACATACTGAATACACTACATATAAAAAAGAAAAAATGTTTGCTTAAAGAAACGTCAAACCTGTGTGCTTTGAATTACAAGTGAGTTGAACTGTATGTAGATATCCAAGAAAAGAGAGTGGCGATGTATAGAAGGCTTGAGTAGTATCAATTATAACAGTTTAAACTCCCAACGGTATGAATTTCAGTACTTGAAAAAACAGAACCCCCTAATGTTAACGTATCACATTTGATGTATGCAGTTTTTGTGAGTTTGAGACTTTACATCATTGGTATCATTTCTTGGATGTAGCAAATATAATACAAATTAAAACATATATGAAAATTAATATTTAATTGGATTTGAAAAAACTTGTTAAGATGATACGTTTGAATGCTTCAGTTTAAAAAAAATGCTATTTTCAATTTCTTGATTCAGGCTTTATTAAAAGGGTGTGGAAAAACTGTATTGTGGCACTGGAGCAGTTTCCACTGGTCCGACAGGAAGCTGAGCTCAGTGAGCTGGGAAAAAGTGTGATTTGTAAAAGGAAAATGATTCAGTCCCATTTGGATCAATTTTGGATTGAATCATGATGATAACAGTAAGCCAACGCAACACAAAGCTATGCTGCAATAGGCTCAGGCTCCTGTGGGTCTTAACATGTTGCACAGAGCATTTGTTCAGCGCTCACCTCTTTCCATTCACTGCGTGTGTATATACAACACTAATCCACGCTGTTAACTTTCGTCTTCTCGTTCGAATAGTATGTTTTTTGTCCTCATCTCTCTATGCACTCTTTTCCCCCCCTTTCTTTTTCCCTTTACCTCTCAATCCAGCCATAGTAGACAGCTGGCAGAGGTCCCCTCCTGTTAAAAAGAAACTGAACTAATAATACCTAGAAGCCTTTTTATTGTACTAATGCACTGGTTATAACATTTGTATGATATAGCCTATATCTTTCATTCTCTCCATCCATCTGTCCAATGTAGTAGCCTAACATGGATGTCACTGGACAAGTTCTGACAGTTTGGTGGTCTGGGGCTTTCAGGTATATGTTATAACAATATGCCAAAATCTTCCCAGGAGTGGATGTCTCAGCATATTCTCCCCAAGGTCAGATCATACAATGTTCAGAGAAAATGCTAAAAATCTCAAGAGCTACATTTCAGACACTAGAAACCTTGGTTTGCATGTTAAGTTCATGAAAGAACAATTAGAAAAAAAGACAAGTATGAACAAGTATGCCTTGTTTGGAAGGGCTGCTAAGCCTCTTTTCTCAGAAAAGAACATGGTAGCACAACTAAGGTTTGCAAAGCTGCGTCGAAACAAACCACAAGATTTCTAGAACAATGACCTTTGGACAGACAAGACCAAAGTGGAGATGATGCACAAAGCCACATTTGGAGAAAAGTCAGCATATCAGCACAAACACGTCATACTGACTGTAAAGCACAATGGTGGAGGGGTGATGGCCGTGGGGACCATAAACTCTGTTTACCAAATTATTTAACAAACAAACGTGAGGCCATCTGTCCAACAGCTAAGGTTTGGCGTTCCAACAGTACAGTGATCCCAAGCACAACAGCAATCTACAACACAATGGCTGATTTCAGTTCATCACACTGAAGTCCAGACTTCATCCAGATTGAAATGCTGTGATAGGAACTTAAGAGAGCTGTGCATGAATTAATTAAAAAAAAGTGGGACAAATTCCTCCAAAATAATATGAGAGTCAGTCAGAAAATGATTACTTCTAGGTGTTGCTGTTAAAGTTGGTTCTAAAAGTTACTGAATCATGGTTGTTCAAAATGTCATTAGACCTTCTCCATGCCTCGCTGGCTTACAACATCTGAGGCAGCAGAGTTGGGAGAAGGAAACTATTGTCTAGTTTCAGTGAAGCAAAAAATCATGCAGGCAGCAGAATTGACTGTGTAAATAATGCTTGACATTGATAAAATAAAAATAATTTTTTAAGTTATGCCCATTTATTTTATATGTCCATTGTAATAACTAAGCCAGTGTGCATACTTCTTATGGATACTTCCTGTGGATGCTTTCAAGGCAGGACTGTACATAACAGAATCAAGAGCAGGTTTTCCGTTAACTAGATTCCTGAACTGTATTTTGTTTTTTAGGTACACAGTTTGTAGGAGTTAAAAAGTTGAGAATGGCAATGATGACTTAAAAAATGATGCATTTTCCCCACATAACTGCACGCAAGAGTCCCTGTAATTGCCAGCAATACATTCTTTGTCTTTTAATGGTTTACAAATCTGTCTCTTAGATGACAACAACAAGAATACACGAGGTCCCAGCAAGGAATGGAAACAGAGTTGTGGGGGACGTAGAGTAGATTTGTATGTGAAATCACAGTAAGGATGGCTGCATCTGTCAGTGAGTGCACCACTTGGGTCCTGACTGAAATATGTTAATAAATTAATGCCCTGAAATTTGGCATGAACACTTGTGGGCTCTAGAGGATGATTGTTACTGACATTTTCCTTTAAAACCACCAAAGTCAAAGGCTTTGGTGGTTTTAATCAAATGTGTCAACAACATTTGGATGATTTTTCATTAAATTTTAGAGGCTTTAATTTCTCCTTGGGTTTTTCATTACATCTCAGTTTTTACACCCCCATAGCTTGTCTTCTAGTCCAGGAACCTAGAAAAATGCCACACTAAGATGATGGACATGGATTAGCACTCTAACTGTGAGACGGTTATAGGATCTACATCTCAACTCACCCAAATAACAACCACCGGGTGGAGAAGAGCTCGATTTTCTGCCTCTAAAGCCACAAGTATCGCCTCCACTTCAGACAAGCATGAGTGACTGACCTAAAGACCAAAGACAAAAACAAAAAAGTCATGACTACTTACAGCGGCATATTTTACTTTCACAGAGAAGTTGTAGAAAATAGAATAAGAACTTACAGAAACCTGGATGAAGTTCCACTCCTTTAACAGACACCTGGCGTTGTCTCCTATTAGATCTGGGACGATGTCCAACTCCTGTGAATGAGAGATACCCTCATGTTAAATATTCAGCTGATGTATCTTGCTTGACTGATAAGATTTAAGGTAGGTCCACCAGTGCCAAGGTCCTAATGCATTTCATATAGAATGACTGATTGACTCCAACGCTCAAAGGTCAAGAGGCTTCTGGTTTTTGTTTCAGCCACTATTTCAGTCATCTGTTGCGAGAGTACATCCACCTGCGTTTCTGCCATGAATCATTCTATGATTACAGAAAAAGGTTATTACAAAAAAGGAAAAGATTTGTGCCTAAAGATCACATAACTGAGGGGCTTATTTCCATCAACTGCAGTCAGAAACTTATTAGAACAAATGAGACAGGGTAAAAAAAGAAACAATTTCTGGGCTCCTTATACTTCTGAACTGGCAGAAAAATTCTGTCATACGCAAAAAACGGGAACAGCAATCATACGTAAGCCAACTTAAATTTCATTATGCTGCAAATTGAGTTGAAGCCCGACATGCAGCCAAGAACTGTAAAAGCCTTTTTACTTAGAGAAATGAGACATTTACGTTCTGATCTTTTCTTTTAATTTTGGCTCGGGCATACAAATAAAACGAGGCAACTGGATAGCCCACAATGTCCATTTTGAATTCATTTTTGTTGTTTTCCCTTAAAAATATAACCTGTTACTATAGTGTCAAACATTCAGGAAATAAACACAGAAATAAACATTCAAAATCTATGTTTGGCATTGAGATGTCGCATTACAGTAACTGAAAGTAAATGAGAATGTGAAATGGTTATGGGAACCATATGCTCAATGGTTAATTGTTCTTGAAGGATAACTGCCCCCAGCTTCAGGAGGAAAATCTTTTTGGTCCGACATGCAGATTTGCAGGGTTCTAAAAAAAAATCTGACATGATCTAAAACAGGTTGGCCATGAAATCGCAGAGTAGACGTGTTTATTTTAGTTTAGGCCTAGAGAGCCAAGAAGCCACAGAACCCCAAACACCAAAAAGACCAGTTAAACAAACCAGAGACATACAGTTAATATGAAATTTAAAAGTGTTAAGAAACCATTCTCATTTTTATACAAATATATATATATATATATATATATAAACACAACTAGCTGAGATGCACTGTGTATTCTGACACCTTTCTATCAGAACCAATTTCAGCAATTTGAGCTACAGTATCTAGTCTGTTGGATCAGACCACATGCTTCACTTGAGCCTTGGCTGCCCATGATCCTGTCACTGGTTCCCCACTATTCCTTTAAACAACAAGATGGTGACCACAGAATTGCTCAGTTCCAAGATTTAAAAGAGGAATCCAACTTTTGTGAATAAAACGGACTCCATCTTGTATTGATACCTGAATTGTTTTTTTCCTGTAAGGTACAAAAAGTACAAGGTACACAGACTTACAATGTGAATTCTTTTACAAAGCTTTTACTTTGTAACATTATTGACTGGTTATTTTTACTGACTTTATGATACTTATGTCCAATTCTTACATAATGTTTTGTGTAAGAATAATACATTATTTATTATTTGTCTCATATGTCCAAAGTGACTTGTATCACATACTCTTATCATTTTCTTTTCTTAAACAAAGTTTATGTGCTTAAAGTCCAGATTCCAGCATGAAAGGTCATTATTATATCAGACACAGGTACTTTATTACATATTTAAGCTTGTGTTTGCGTCAAGATGAAACATTAACAACAGCTGCAAGCTACAAATACTGCTGACAGTATGAATATGGTACGTTTGTTAAAGCTACCAGACACTTTGGCCCTAAAATATATTCAAAGATCAATCATCTAATCTAAAAAAAACAACTTGTTGGCAAATTGCAAGCAAAGCTTAGAACCCATTATTTAAAACTATCTGTGGCTGACAGCCAGAAAAAGCACATTTGCTGGCACACTGTCTGTCCAATCCTACTACTTGTTTTCTGTCTAAATGACAAATTCTCTTGAGTTGAAAGTAATTATCAAAAACCTTCACTAAGCTGATATGGATCTGAGGATTGCCTTTGATGTGCACAGCATATTAAAATAACACGTGTCAAGATTAAACGACACCAGGGGGAAGAAAGAGGAGATAATTTGATTTGGAAAAAAAAGTTTAATGTGTTTTTTTCCTCCCATAAAACATCTACTTGTCTGTGTCTGTCTTTGTTTCGATTTTACTCCAATCAAATACTGAAAATGTGTTTTTAATAAAACAAGAATTGTCGGGTATTTAATGACACTGTTCAATGCAGAGTCATTTTCTTGGAAGAGGTTAAGGTTTTTATCACAATGATAACTTTTTTCAGTGTATTTAGATGTGGTCACTTGAAGGAACCAAACACTGGATATACTAGACACAAAAATATTTGTTTTATATTTAGTAAAGTAGGTTAACCTCCTAGGACCTGGTGTCCACATATGTGGACATCACATTTTGGGTTGTCTAGACCAAAATACAAAACTTTGCTCTATAAGGGCCTGATGTCCACT